TCAGAATTTTCATATCCAAGAACAAAAAAAGGTAGAACTTTCTAAATCTAACAAGGGGGGTTCCGAATGGTAGCTTCCGAAAGATCATACACATAAAGAAGAAAGCACCGCATATAATACTGTGTCTACATCATAACGAAATGCAAAATCTACCGCACGGAATGCTAACAGGACCGGACATAATATTTAACGATCAGCATCATCATAATAACAGAAATACTACATATAATGATGAATATACTGTATATAATGTGAGAAGTACATAATATAGCGTTGTGTTCACTGCATATAATGTTAGATCTACCGCATATAATGTTAAAAGTACTTCATATAATGATAAAAACACCTCATATAATGATAGATGTACATAATATAATGACACATCTACATCATATAATGAAAGAAGTACTGTATATAATTAAGAAATAAACAACAATGTTAAAAAGTTCTCTGGGAAATGAACTTGGTTGGTCACGTGATCAAATCCTGTGAAGCCCGAAGGGCTTCTCAGAAGATTTGATCACGTACCAACCAAGTTCATTTCCCAGTGAACTTTTTAACATTGTTGTTTATTACTTTTATTTACATTTGAGACGAATATTCTGAAAAGAACTGCATTTATTACACGAACGGCCCGTCGTATTGCTATGTTGTGACGCGCAATGACCTAGAAGCTGTTTGGTCTTGAGAGTTCGCCTCGCTCCAACATTTGAATACTTACATTGATGTTCAGCAGTCCAGTTCAGGAAATATCTGTTCATAATGAAAAAAACAATGATCGCTACTGGGAATAATCTTATTATTATTGTATGAGTTCTTTATATATGGAGTCAAAAGCGGTGCTATCGTCTTCAGTTTACATACCTTCAAAGGAATTTCGGATTAAAAAGGTAAGCGTGATTTTAGGCTAATTAGAAACATTCTTCACACCCGAAGAAAGATCTAATGATCATTTGTTGAACGCAAAAATAAATATGTTTCAAATATTTTATCTTTTTCATCGCTTTAACGGCTTAGAAGTTCCGAAACCAGTGTCACTGTGACAGAAATATGTAGACAAGATATCGTCTCGCTGTGTGATTCGGTCACGCCATGACCTCTGACCCCCTAATAAGTTCATACAGAATTGAACATATTTTCTCTTCAATAGGTTCATCTAAGAAAAATATTTGCAAATGTAAATAATGGAAGTTGCACACGATATACTGTAAAAACTACTTCATATAATTAAAATAGTACCACATATAATGAAGAGAACACTGCATATAATGTTTAATCCTCATATAAGACAGTCCCGGCGTTCCATACCTACCCCCTTTTTTCAGCTTTTTCATCTATAGGCCAGATTGATAGGGAATAATACAGAATTATACTTACAGATGTTAGAACTGTAACTAGACAGACAAGGAAAAACCAGGACATGTTTGATATTCTCATCTATAAGCAGTGCTTTTTCTGTAACTCAAAGTTTGAATTAAACATGTGAGATTAAATCAATTTCATAAAGAGTTTGGCATAACTAACAAACTGTGACATGCATATGGGAAATATTTAAATGTTAAGAGAAAAAGGAAATAAGGTAACTATTAATCATATTTGATAAGAGATATTGAGATATTAGCGATTCCCTTACCATTTTACTTTTATCTCCAGTTCAGAGATCTCTTACCTTATTATTGAACTCTGCAATTTTACTGGTGGGGTATATCACGACCTTAAATTCACAATAGAATAGTTAATTACACTATGTGATTTAATGTTTTGTTTTTATATTGCAGTTCCGTTATGATATGGTGCGCACGCACACCAGCTTAAGGACTAATGACCCATTGCTCTAAATTTCACGAAAATTTTTAAACTTCCCTAGCATGTTTCCCTGGCCTACCCATAATGCTCCGAAAAAGTTTGAGGAGCATTATGGGTAGGCCAGGGAAACAGGCTATTTTCATCAACAGCTATTATAGCATCAGATTCAAATGAAAAATAGTATAAAGTATGAGGCGCTGCTTATTTTTCCAGATATGACTTTATGTCAGATCATAATATGAAGAAATTTTAACACAGAGAATAGGAAGAGTAATAATTTATTATCATAACATAAAATTAAAAAATGCAGTGTATATGAAAATAACATTTAGTGTCATACCTACTAAATTCATATTAGAAAATATAATAAAGCGCTGCTTCCTAAGTCAGAATATTCCAATGTTATATGTGGTTGTAAGAAAACAAGACATCTGTTAACAAGAGTTATTTTTCTTATAAATATTTTTTTTCATTTGAAAAAAAAAATGCAATACTAATATAAATTCCACATTTGGTACTTGATACATTAAACCATTTTTAAAATGATCGTTAAAAAGATAGAACTTATTCAATTTGTGAGGGTTTTAAAAATGGATTTAAATGTTTTTTGTCAAATAAAACAATTTGAAAAGTATAGACAAAAGAAATAGAAGATAACGTTTCCATCATATGTTACATGTAGCTTGATCGAATTGACTACTCAAAGGTCTCTAAAGTAAACAATGAGTAGTATTAGTATGTTTTACTTGGAAACTTATCTCTCTTATCAGAGGGTCGGCCCCCTTAAGAAGGTCTTAACACTGCACTTTGAAGAGTTTTAATTCCGTGGAATTTTAGCTCACCGGAACCGAAGGCTCAAATGAGCTTTTCTAATCAAAATTTGTCCGTTGTCTGTTGTTGTCGTCGTTGTAAACTTTTCACAATTTCATCTTCTTCTCCAGAACCACTGGGCAAATTTCAACCAAACTTGGCACAAAGCATCCTTGGATGAAGGGGATTTAAGTTTATTCAAATGAAGGGCCACGCCCTCATTCAAGGGGAGATAATTCAGAAATAGTGAAAATTTGGCGGCATATTCAAAAAATCTTCTTTTAAAAATTCTTCAAGAACCACTGGGGCAAAATATTTGAAACTTATAGGAAACCTTCTTTACGAAGTGTAGATTCAAGTTTGTTCAAATGATGACTCCTGGCGGTAGGGTGGTCCACAATGGGGGATCAAAGTTTTACATAGAAATATATAGGAAAAAAACTTTAATAATCTTCTTCTCAAGAACAACAAAGCCTTGTTTAGTCATATTGATATGGAAGCATTCTCAGGTAGTGTAGATTCAAGTTTGTTCACATGATGAACCCTGGGAGTAGGGTGGGGCCACAATGGGGGATCAAAGTTTTTCATAGAAATATATAGGGAAAAAACTTTAATAAACTTCTTCTCAAGAACAGCAAAGCCTTGTTTAGTCACATTGATATGGAAGTATTCTCAGGTAGTGTAGATTCAAGTTTGTTCAAATGCTGACCCCTCTTATATTTACATTATTTTTCTGATGACTTCCCACATATTTTTGTCATTCAAGGATCATTTTTGAAAAAAAAGTTAGCACTATTTTTTGACTTCAATCACATCACAATGGAAATATTCTTACTCATCCCACGGTAGTTCATGAGAACATGAACTTTTTCTAATTTGCAAAGAATCTTGAAAGAAAATATTTGGAAATGTAAATATATTAATATGAAAGCACCCTCAGGTAGTGTGGATTCAATTTTGTTCCAATGATGACCCCTGGGGTTAGGGTTGGGCCACAATGGGGATGAAAGTTTTACATAGGAATATAGAGGAAAAAAATATTCTTCTCAAGAACAGCAAAGCCTGTTTAGTCATATTGATATATAAGCATCCTTAGGTAGTGTAGATTCAAATTTGTTCAAAAGATGACTCCTGTAGGTAGGATGGGGCAATAATGAGGGATCAAATTTTTACATAGGAATACAAAGGAAAAAACTTTAAAACTCTTCTTCTCAAGACCAGCAAAACCATGATTAGTCATATTGATATGGAAGCATTTTCAGGTATTAAAGGATTCAAGTTTGCTCAAAGGATGACCCCAGGGTTAGGAGGGAGCCACAATAGACGATCAAAGTTTTACATAGGAATATATAGGAGAAAAAAAATAAAAATCTTCTGCTCAAGAACAGCAAAGCCATGTTTAGTCATATTGAAATGAAAGCATACTTAGATATTGTAGATTCAAGTTTCTTCAAATGATGACCCCCGGGGTAGGGAGGGGCCACAATGGGGTATCAAATTTTTACAAAAGAATATATAGGATAAAATATTTTAAAATCTTCTGCTCAAGAACAGCAAAGCCATTTATTATCGATATGGAAGCATCCTCAGGTAGTTTAAAATTCAAGCCCCCCCCCCTCCCGAGTAAACTTTTCAATACTGAACTGATTTGTGCTTTTTCCTACCACATTTGCTCAGGTGAGCGATGTGGCCCATGGGTCTCTCTCTCTCTTTTTTTTTATTGGTGAAGAGGTAGTTAAGTTTTTGAATGAAAGGTGGACGCTAAACAAGAAAAAATTGGATTGTGCTTATACATGGTCTCAAGAATCGTCCTACTGAGCCGAAGTGATATTTTCTGTTAAAATATTATATCCATCCTCAAAATAGCTGACAGATACAACAACTTAACATTGAATTTAAAAAAACACACAAAAAAGCGAACAATAATACAAACCTTCGGTAGACCCTTTTATAAATTTTAAATGTGTTTATGGATGACAGCTTAATGGCATGAGGTTACAGATCACACACTCCTCGTAATTATAAACGTTACATCTCTGTATGGTTTTTGATTGGATATAATTTTTTTTATCCATTGAGTTGTGTATTTTTATCTTCGAGCCTTGGCGATAAGGGGATTAAAAACCGAATTGGATAAAAAAAAATAATATCCAACCACAAACCATGTTAGATTCTTTTTTTATCACATGTTCTACAAGGCAATATCTAACAACAACAACAAAAATGATTTATTCTATTCTAAATTTGGGGTAACAAATAGGGTCGGGCCCCCTCTAAATCTGCCACTTGTCCATTTTCGGTTCCTTTTCTACAAACCAATCTCATCTTCACAATGTTAAAGTTTTTTGATAGAGATTTGAAAGAATTTTAAAAGTATTTTATATCTATTTATTTCTGTCAATCTTTGACAGTATGAGATCTAACTTAGCGTCCATTGCCTTAAATTTACTCTCGAGAAGACCAACTCTATGGTCAACACGCCAAGTAATTTCCGCTATGTCGACCACACCCACTGTGTCGTCATAGATATCCATCATTTCATCCCTTGTTGATCTCAATGTTTTCAGGCTTTGCTTTACTTTGTCTTTCAGTCTGGAAATTTCACTTTGTCTACCTTTTCCAGCCTTTGTCAAGACTGTTAGTTTAAAGAATGATTTGATGGCATCTGCAGCGGCAGATTTCTTTTTAAACGATGTTTGAATTCGTGAAGCAAATGCGAACACGTGTTTCTCCATTCGGGTGTGTTCGACTTGCTGGGCTATAATCGCAATGAGAAGAGCAGTGGTGATTAAACCCAATATGGCTGTAACAACCGAAACATATCTACCACAGTAACTCTCAGGCATAACATCCCCGTGATCAGAGGACAAAAAGACCATCGTGATCAACCACAGTGATTCGAAGAAGGAATTCTTTTTATACTTATTTCGGTCGTAATAGAGTTCGCAAGCTCTGTAAGCCCAGGTATTTACTAGAATCGTCAAAACCATGACCACTATAAGAAGTAAACCTGGTCTTCTGTTCATTAAAGCTTTGAAAACAAAGGAAGTGTTAATTTTCGTTTTGCTTATTACACCAATACTGTATATGAATGTGTCTGTCACCATATCGCTATGAACAACAGCAAAATCGCAAATCAAGTACACTCGTGTCAGCATAGCTATTGATAAAACTGAATCGATGCTTACGGAATGGATGACTCCTTGAGTAGAAGCATAGTTAAACTTAAAATCTCCAGGAAAAGGGTGTATGGAGCAGATAACTAGTTCCAAACATAAACACAACCAGTTTCGTGACGTCATCACTGACAGAACACTCCTGACGCCAGAATCCAGCGCTCTAATACGCGCAGATACGTAATAGTTCACACAAATAAACAACAAGAGAAACAATGTTGAAATTGAAATCAGAAACTTCAGCAGAAGGGAAACTAAGCCTCGTTTTGAGATTGATCCTTTAATGTATAACTCAGCTTCTAGGACCATGAAAATGATTCCAATCGTTGCTAGTGTGAATTCCATGTTAACTACTCGACGCCGACATAAAACTAAACCAATCCGTAAATCCAATTTCTGTGCAAGAGTCAAGGATTCTTTTTCGGGCATAGTAGTTTCGCTCGAATACTTTTTCAAAGGTTCAGTGTACTTTTGAACAACGTCTCCTGAATTCAGAGGCGTCTTTGGATCGTCAGACATCTTCAACTGAAGTTATCAATATATTATCCACTGAGAATGAATTCATTACAGTATTTCAGCACCTGTCGACCATAACCGATAAGTAAGGTATAAAGTGATCAAGAAAACTATACAAGCTGTTTGCTATGTAACAATCCAGAAAACAGAGAAAATATTGATTGAGCACCGTCAACCATGGTCAACTACATTCGATACCTCTTGTGCATACGTTTTTTACACCTGTTGTAATTTATGATGCCGGAAAAAGAGAGGACCTTTCTACTCAAGAAGATAAATGCTTTAGATAAAACAAAATCATTCTGTTTAATTCTTACTTTATTATAATGGTTTTTAGTGCTTGATAGCATTTTTCGTCAAAAATAATGAAAGGTGTTGTCAAGCTGGAACTGACAGAAATACAAATCTCTTCCAGCTTGCTTTAGGGGGTAAGGTGCTACAATCTCCCACATACCTACAAACACATATGAACAGAACTGTGTTCCATTCACATTGAAGCACACTACGTACAACCAAACTTTTTGTAAGAAGTTGATCCTGAACATACATGTAGCTTGCACTTTAATGTGTTTCCACCTTCACTTTTTTATAGGTTCAAACCCGTGCAAAAAAAGAATGAATGAATTTTCACGATAAATATATATATAATTTATATATATATATATTTCTATATATATATATATCTTCTTCATATCACCTTGGTCGAGCTGATCAACACAAAGAAACCCGAATTTTTGAGTTATCTTTCTTCCTTCATGTTGCTTTGTACCTCATCCGGAATCAACGCCACCTGGATCAAATGTTTCCCTCTAGTTATTAAATTTTTAGAATTGATTTTACAACTTCTTATGTTAATGAATAAACATTTGTAAAAGTTAGTTTAAACTATGTCTTAAATGTTGCTTTTATTACCTTTAAATTTTTCTTGTCATTTTTCATCAAATACAAATTTATTTCTTTATGATTTTACAAAAGTACTCCCCAGGATGGGAGAGTGTAAAATATAGAAGCAGCTCGATACGAGCTTCTGGGAAAAATATTAATGAGAAAAGATTGTAATAAATTTCGTTTTGGATATGCTACAGATGCGAATGAGAGAAACTACAACTTTTTCGACACTTCAAATTTATTCTGAAGTCCATCATAGCACCGTGCAGCAGCATCTGCAGAAATAATCCGCATCATCATGTGACATAGATCCAGGGTATCATGATAGTCATGATCAGTGCGGGAAAAGTTCGCGGCCGATTTGATGCTTTGCATCAATATATAGTCTTGTACATTACTGTTTCTGTTACGTTAAACATTTGCACTTACAAATCATGTAAGATATCTCGAGTATATACAAAACAAACATATACCCTCTCCCTTCGAAATCAAATTTGTACATTCACCATTAAAATACTTACTCTTCATTAGATTGTTATGAAAAATTGCAGTTTGTGTCTGATAAAATTATTATCACACGATTGATTTTCATTTCTCTTGTGCAGTCTACAGGTTTACATTTACGTATTATTGTATGTACAATCATACCTTACCAGCTGTCGCCATAGCTTAGTCATTAAAACGGTCATATTTCAAAAGGGTATTTGAACTAGTGCATTCTGCTTGAGAAGACCCCGCCTTCACCATGTTGGTATGTATGCTTTTGTTGAGGTTCCTCAGTTACATGTATGTCTATCAGTGGATTTACATGGATATACTTTTCCTAGAAAAAATCCCTATACCAGTTGATTGCATTATAACAGTCAATGGTAAACGAAATATTGCAACTGCTTGAACTAAATATTATTGTTTGTTTGTGATCTTTTTTGCGTCAGCTTGAGTACATTATAACAGTCAATGGTAAACGAAATATTATAACTGAATATTGTTAATGATCTTTTTGCATAACAAATAGCCGTGTAAGATAATCAGGCAAAACACAAATAATTGAGTGACTGTCAAATCTAATGCACAGGAATTTTTTCGATAACTGATATGCAATGTTTCCTTATCTCTTTTATACATTTATTGGTGATAAGGGGATTTTCCTTACAGTATTTCTACAAAAATCATTATTTCGAGTTGCATTCTTTTTGTTCAACAGTGGGTAGACATGATTTTTGAAAACCATAATAACAAATATATTGTAGAACACAGCTAAATATTATTCTTCTGTATTAGTCAATGATAGGGCTCGGGTCAAATAAACAACAAAAAAGTTGAAAACTTAAAATTTTTTATTCCCTTTTTTCATCATAGGGATAGGCATTTTAGAGTTATTTAACACTGAAATACATAAAAAGTGATAAAAAAAGAAGAAAGAATCGATGGCTCTTGACCTTGCAAAATCAAAGCTCCAAAAAAACTTAAATTAATTCGACGTAATGTCATTGTCATTTGCAAAGGATGAGTTGCACAGTTGTGAAATTTTGATAAAGCTGTCATATCTTCTTTATAGACTTCCATCGATTCTATAAAAAGTTATCTGAATAAAGTAAGTCCGAACAATATATGATCTGGTAACAGACGGTGTAGGGTCGATGTTCGAATCGCCCTTGTTTAACCAATCGATCCAATTTTACGTATTCCCCTTTGGCAACGAAGTAGATATTTTACCGTTAAAAGTACTCGGAGGCATAATGACTTAGAGGTATAATGAAAGCAGGTAAGGTTTACTTTTAAATACTCTATTTCTTTATGTATGTTTACCTCAAATTCCAAACCCAGTGATATTTCAATTTATTATAGGGGCTGTATTATGAGCGGATACGAGTTTGACAATCCTAAACTTCCCCTTTGCGCGAACGACAACATTAAAATGAAGTATATGGGTGAACAAGATATTAAATTGCCTTCGGTTCCTAGTGGAAATTCAAAAAACGATGCAAAACTCACACTTGGACAAAAAATCGACTACAGAAGAGAACTGATTCTACGGCGGCGTCACATCGTAGATACTGAGTTTACCCTCGCCATGATTGGGATTATCCTTATGGTGGTAGAGACAGAATTATTTATAACCTACGGCATGGAGAAAGTTAGCATTGACTCGATTACACTTAAAAGCATCATATCTGCAACTACGGTTGTTTTACTCATTTGTATCTGCTTAAATTATTACACCGGAGCAAAAATAAAGATGTTAGATGCAGGTTTGAAAGAATGGCACATGGCAATGTCGACATGGCATTGGTTTGGTTTGGCTCTAGAGCTACTTATCTGCAGCATCCATCCGTTTCCAGGTGACGTCCGACTGCCATACCTTTCTCCAGACGGTGTTGGTCATACAGTTAGTCTCGATGCTGTGTTGTCCATCGTCATGGTGGCGCGTCTTTACTTGGTCGCCAAATTCGCTGTTGTCCATAGTGTGTTACTCACCGATACATCCATATACAGTATCGGAGCTCTTAGTAAAGTAAAAATCAACACCCTATTCGTTTTTCGAGCTGCAATGAGAAACAGACCAGGACAACTTTTACTATTGGTCATGATATCAACGTTCGTGGTAAATACATGGGCAATGAGAGCATGTGAGCTGTATTATGAAAGAAGGAACTATAATAAAAATTCATATATTGAGTCCATGTGGTTGATCGCCATAACTTTTCTTACTGTGGGTTATGGTGACAGGACACCCCAAAGTTATTGTGGAAGATATATTTCCATAGTGACAGGCGCCATGGGCGTGATAACAACCGCCCTTTTGGTCGCGATTATAGCAAGATATCTTCAACAAACGAGATCCGAGAAATACGTCTTCAACTTCGTTTCACGCTTGCAGATCGTATACAGGAAGAAGACCGCTGCCGCAAACGCCATTAAGGCTGTTCTAAGACTCCAAATTTTGAGGCGATATGGAGACGAATATAAAGGAGAAATACGGAAATACGAGGATAAACTGAAGAAGGCTCTCCAGGAAATTAAGAGTGCGAAAGAAGACATGGACCACATAGGGGATGATGCTGTTGGGATTCTAGATGTTGCACACAGCGTGGATAAAATCGTGACTGAGCTGGATAGAAAATTTGCAGAAGACAAAGCGAATCGTGAGCGTATACAGATTATTGATCATAGATTGGATTCCATTGAAACGAAGTTGAATAGCTTGTGTGATATGATGTCACAAATGTCCAAATAACCATTTTGTCTCCTCAAAAAAGAGTCTCAGTATTAATTTGCAGATCAGGAGGATTTAGAGGCCATTTCATGACCACATGCAGGGGATAGTAACATACTATGTAACATACTATGCTTGTTTTTACGTGATCACTATACATCTATACTTATAAATTAATAAATTTTGCAAATAAACTCCGAAACGCCTGCACAAGAGTTCATATATTACACTAGATATAAGGTGGTGTCCGTAAACTCTATCTAGATTTCATTCACATAGTAATTATAGTTCTAATTGAAAGTCTACTCTCTTTTTCGATTAAGAGCCGTGAAATAGCAACAAAAAAAAAAAAAAAAAAGAGAGAGAGAGAGAGTAGTGTTGTATTAAAGAAGATAGGGCAATTATATTTGACTTGTGCATTACCTGTGTCAAGAAGTTTGCAAACAAGCAATGAATATTTTGACCGTGTGACCTTGAAGTTTTAGCTAATTTTCAAAAAAAAATTTAACATTCAATGGTGATAACTTTTGAATGAGAAAAGGTAGGATGTTCATATTTGACAAGTGCATTACCTGTGACCTACTTATCAGGAATTTTAACTTTGGCCCTAGCTTATACTCCAGAAGAGCCAAGGCTTTCATATTTTTTCACATATGCCTTACTTGTGACAAGATCTTTTGAATTGTATTATGATATTTGACCTCAAAACCTTGATCTTGAAGTTTGATGCATTTTTGAGAAGCCTTAATCTTTGCTGTAACTTTTATTAATTCAATAATTTATATCTTGTTTGTATGATGGACAGAGAAGACAAGACACACAAACAAAGCAGTTACAATAAGCCATAAAATAATGCATCCCAAAAACTAAGACACCGAAAGCGGGGGAACACAATTCTTTGAATTTGATTGTTCAGTCAAAACTTGATTTGAGTAGTATAGAACAAATAAGCTGTGCAATTTACTATATTGGGATTGACATCATTTTAAAATTTTTTAAAAGTTTTTTAAATCAAAGATTTGGATTTAAATATCCTTGTGTATTTTTTTTTATTTTTAAAATTTTGTTACAATGTGACAAGTAATGGGGAGGTGTACACGCTAAACCTTTAAAAAAAAACTTGCTATAGCCCTTTCTGTTCTCCATGTGCATGCTCTGCGTGCATCTGCCGTGCATTTGCATGCACTGTTGAACAGTTCTATCTTTTCCACTAAAGTCCCTTAAACCAATTTGAATATTTATAAAGATATTGCATTTATGGAAGAATAACACTGGAGGCTTTGGGGGAAGGAGCACACTTGCAGTTTCTACCCCCTAAAGAACTTATGCTATTAAGTACGTTTAAAAGATTGTGCCCCACCTCCTCTCCCCTCATTCAGCCCAAAAATCATGGATACTTACTTGAAGTGGAAGAACAATTCTGAATTTCACGGATCCCTCATCTCTGATCACAGCGATTTGGAACCAATGCAATTAAAAATAATGCAATCTTTAAGTATTTCTTAATCATGGAAATCTGCCACGAAAATAAAATATTTGCATGATTGTAGTTAAAAAGGAAGCAGTTAATTTTGAAATTCACAGCCCCCCGGGATCCAGAGTTTAGGACCCAGAAAGTAGTTTTTAAAATTTATTATATTTTTGAAAATCTTTTTTTTATTCCAGGACCTTAGCCGGCAATCTGCTGGCATGATATTAAATTTATAACAGTTTGCCCTATATCACTACAATGAGATCCATGCCCCTTTGTCCATGAGTTCAGTTAGTCACATATTGAAAGTTCATTTTTTGGTCCTTTCTTGTGCGTCTTCTTTACACTTGGGCATCTAGAAAGCAAACTGGTTGCATGATTATAAGAAACAGTTTTCCTCTGTCAAAATACTATCGGTTCCGTGATAAGTAGACAAGTAGAAATTCATTACATCTTTGAAAATTTTCAACACTGCGAAATCCGTGTCCCCTGACAACAGGGTTCAAACTTCAAGGTAGGTTTCATTAATCATTTAAAATATTTACTGCTTAGGAAGTACATGTAGCAGATACACTTCTTTGGCTGTGAAAACGAATGAGGAGTCCAAGTGCTGCATAATTGCAAAAAAAGTCACATTGGTCTGATTTTGTGACATTTGGATCGACAGACAGACAAACCATGTTAAAACCAATTCGTCTTTCCTCACAAACAGAGGTAGGACAGACAATTTGAGACAACCATGCAGGAATTCATTATTCCTAACAGTCTTAGAAGTGTTCTTACTTGAATCTTTTCTGATTTTTGGCACAGATAAATCAATTCTCTCAAAGCGTGGAAACGTTCTGAAGTTGGAAAACTCAAACCTTTTTCCAAATATATGAAAGCACCCAGAAAAACCAGTTTTTTTTTTGTTAATTGTAGGTTTGATTTTTCCAAATTTACTATAAAACCCAATCTCAGAGTTTGTTTTTCTGCTCTTAGTTGATGATAACTTTGATTTTTGATGAGCCAGTCGTCTAAATAAGCATGAGGACGAAATCTGCTTTGGCGCAAGTGGCCTAATAGGATCGACACTATTTTTGTAAACAAGCGTGGCGCAATAGAAATTCCGAAGGGAAGTGCTCGATACTGATATATATTTCCCTCTTTTTCCAAACCTGAGATATTCTCTGCTTTCGAAATGGATAGGAACATGCAAACAAGCGTCTGAAAGATCAATAGAAAAGGCCCAGTCCCCTATAATTAGGGAATGAATCGCAGGCCTTAAAGTTTCCATTTTTAAATGTTGATTTCTTATAAATTTGTTCAATTTTCTCAGATTTAGGATTCATCGAAATCCCCTCGATTGTTTTGGAACAATGAAAATTGTTGAATAGAACCCCACATTCGAGTGTCTGGGATCTACAATTTCTATATATTGCATTTTTGTCTAGTAGGGATTTATTTCCTCCAAAACTACTTTCCGTTTTTCTGGATCCTTTGGAATTTCTGTGTGCCTAACACCTGTGAAAGAAGGTGGCTTCTTCAAAAATTCGATTTTGTAACCTTCTGATATGACTCTGAGAATGAATTTGATATTTGTTTCCAATTTTGAGCAAAATGCAGTAGTCTTCCTCCAACTTTGATACTGGGTTTTGGCAGCTTCCATGACTGGCTGGGGGCATCTATATTTTCCCCTTTTTTGGAATTTAGATGGCTGAAAAGTTGATTTTGATTGGGTACCCCAACCAGAACGCCTATAAGTATCAGATTTCTTTGCATTTGAGCTTCTGTACTTGTTGCTTAAAACACTAGTTCTGCCACTTGAATTGTTACTACCTGACTTGTCCAAACGATTAAATTTTTTGTCTGGAGGCTTACCATCATCAGATTTCTCAGAGAAAGGACGTTTTTTGTCCACTCTGTTGTAATCCTTAGGCCTTCGATGTTTCTCGCACATCACGTATCATCTCTGAAGATTTGTGTGTTATTTCCTGGATTTGACCAGCAAACAACTTGTCCCCTTCCAAGGGTACTTTTTGCAGCAGAATCTGGAATATTCAGAGCATCGATATGAACATTACGTCTGGCAAGCACACAACATGCTGACGCTCTGACAATTAAGTCACCAATATCCACAATAACATTTGCTAATCCTCATAACAACTGAGATAAAACTTCATCTGAAATTTCAGATTCTCATTTCAATCCTTTTGACAAGGCTGATAGAATGAGAGACACACCTCTCTGTTGGAATCTTAAACTTTGATCGAAGGCTGCCAAGGCTGCGTTTGCCTTGCTTTCTGAGGGTTGTGATCATTTTTGAGCCTTTTATTAGTACTAATATAAGTAATGACTGTTGCATCTATATCTGGACTTTTCCCTATCTTATCAAAGTCCTCATCTGGCCACCTCTACTGATATCTGTGACGATTTTTGAAGGATGCAATTTTCGACTAGGGTTTTTCAGCTTCCTTTCAAGCATTAACTACAATGCCATCTGCTGGTAAACTAGGTCCATCAAATTGTTTTTTACTTGATGGTAGGCCAGAGAATGACTGAGATAAAAAAGATTTCCTAGTCTTTTGTTGGGGATCTTTAGCTTCAATACCAAGAATATTTTGTACATTGTGAATCATATTGTCCCAAGATTTTGAAAATAGATTCCAATTCCTCATCTTTCTCTGCAGCATTACCATGCAGAGGTGCATCAACTGTGATATTTACAGTGTAAGGTACATGAGGTACATTCCTAGAACGTGTACAAGTACGCTCACTCTGCCACGAGTAGCGTTTTTCTGGAGACGAAGTGTCTAAATAACTGCAAGTATCGTCATCATCCGCCATTACATTTAACGGAGCTCATTGAATTCGGCATTATTATTTGCCGATGAATCTTTATTATTGACAGAAAGAAGATTAATAATTTTATTTTCAAAAGCTGAAAACTCGTTTCAAACATCGCATCGACTTCACGTCGGGACAAATACGCTGAAGAATTTGCATGTACCTCCGAGAAATCTGGTACAAGAGGAATAAACTATCTATTAGACGATGAGGTCTTTTCATTTCTTGAATCCTTATCAGGATTCTGCGTAATTTGGCTCTTGCCAGGACCACGAGGTAGTTGTTCCTTACCGGAACTCTGGTGTCGTTCTCCTCTTTCAGGGGCGAAATCGCTTCCCCCGTCTCTTTAGAACTCTTAGACAAATGTTTTCTTTGTCTTTATCTTTACCCACCATGTAGAAACATAAAAGGTACACTGCTGCAAAAGAAGAATATACTTCTCGATATCGGTAACAACTTTTCTTAATGGCGCCGAGAATGAAGATGAGCATGGTACGAAGTAGGTGGCGCTATATGGAGTTGGGGAGTGTATAAAATTTGAATCGCGGTGGTAACAAATTCCAGGAATGAGTAGCTATTGTAAGTTTGATGCAAAGGAGATGTATAAGGAGTATAACACTGCAGAAAAAATTTGTTATTTGTACCCGGACGCTGTGCTGTTTGGAAATACATATTAATTTTTCGGTTCTCAGGCAGTGTTCGCTATAAACTAAAATCATCGCATGGAAAGAGTGATCACTCTAAATCATCCGCTGCACAGGAAAAGCTTTGAGCTAAGATAGTTCCAAGCACTTTCAATGTTTATAGCGTCTCCACCATTCCACTTACCTTATCATAAAAAGCACGAAGG